ACTTACTACATTAACGAATTCTGTTATGGCATTAGGTCATAAAAATAATTAGCAATCATGACAATAATGGGTAACCTTTACAAAGTCCTCACTCTGTGCTGGGCCCTTTCCTGAATGCTTTGCACACAAATGAAGATGATCAACTCTCTTCCTATCCTCATTTTATAGATGACGAAATGGAAGCTCAGAGAGGTTAAGAGCTTGCCCGAGGTCACACAGCTAGGAAATAGCAGAAGCAGGATTTGAATGTAGGCACCTGAGAGTCACATTCTTAACTACTCTGGGCTGCATCTCAGCTAAGAGATGTCCATTACAAGGCCACCCCGTGTGAGGACAAGAAGAATGGTTTATTATACATTTCTGTTTTATTTCAAGGGATTTCTTGAAATTCCGCCAAAGGCTTTGGTAGGCAGTACTACTTGCTAAATAATAACCACTAGCATGCGCATTACACTTGATGGTTGGCAGGGCGGCTTCATGCACTGCTTTTCAGCTGACTCCTGCAACAATGTTATGAGGTGGGCGCTTCTGTCTCGTCTCCTAGAAGAGGAATCTGACGCTCTGAGCGGTTAAACGAACAAGCTCAAGGTCACCCAACCAATGCGGAGCAGAGCAAGGGCTCAAGGTAACGTCCATCAGAAAAATATTAAGATCTGAGTGTTTTCTTTTTTTTTAATAAGATTTTTTATGTATTTATTTGACAGAGATCACGAGCAGGCAGAGAGAGGCAGAGAGAGAGAGAGGAGGAAGCAGGCTCCCCGCTGAGGGACTCGATCCCAGGACCCTGCGATCATGACCTGAGCCGAAGGCAGAGGCTTTAACCCACTGAGCCACCCAGGCATCCCAATCTGAGTGTTTTCAACTGTAAGGTTCTTCCATGTCACTTACAAGTAAATAAGATAATCCACAGGAGAGCATTCGGCACGGCGCATGGAACCAGGTAGGACCCTGGGATAAATGGGAATTATCATCATCTTCATCAACACCTCCTAGGAACTGGAATATTTTAGCTGATGACGGTAGACCGTCTGTGAAGCCTGATGGAAAGATTACCCATTTCATTCTAGTTCATCCCTGGTAATGTTGAAATAATGATCAATCTCCATTATCCCTGGGGAACCATAGAATGTTAAGAGCTGGAAGGAGTTGCGGAGATTAGCTCATCCAGCGCCTGCATTCACAGACAGAGAAATTAAGTCCTAGAGAGGGAAGAGGTCAGAGGGCAAACTTCTCCAGGGTAGGGCTCCGGCACTGTGCCTGGCACATACCGCCTCCCATGAAGATGGGGCTTTTACCTGAAAGGGCATCTAGCTTCGTAAAGGCTACAGGAGATAATTCGTTCGTTTCCTGAGCTTGGAGCGCTCCCACCCCACCCCCACACAAAGTACCAAAGTGTTATAAGCTATTAACCAGAAAACCGGTCATGTGACTTAATTCCACCTCTGCTAAAGGGCTTAAAATGCTTTGGTGAGTAGTCTGAGATTCATAAATATACACTTCAACTCCTAAAGAATTATTAACCAGCTCCATCAGAACTGGAACTTGGGCAATCAAGGAGAAAAAGAGCTGGCAAGAGAAATGTCTTGAATAAAATCTTGCCACTAGTATATAGGACTCCTTGGCACCTCTTTCTCCCTTTCTTTTTTTTTTTTTTTTTTAAATATTTTATTTATTTATTTGACAGACAGAGATCACAAGTAGGCAGAGAGGCAGGCAGAGAAAGAGAGAGAGGAGGAAGCAGGCTCCCTGCAGAGCAGAGAGCCCGATGCGGGGCTCGATGCGGGGCTCGATCCCAGGACCCTGGGATCATGACCTGAGCCGAAGGCAGAGGCTTTAACCCACTGAGCCACCCAGGTGCCCCTCTTTCTCCCTTTCTTAAAGACAGAAGTATTGAAAAGGGCGATGTGGCACCAGCATAACCCCTACTGGCTTCTTCAGAGGGCGGAGACAGGCTGGACGGACCCGCCAGTGTGTGGGTGTGATAATCAGGGATAGCCCATTCCCAACTAACGATTTTGAAACCCTATAATTTATCGAGTCCGTGTCATACTCACCTTACTTATCTCACTAACTCACTGGGTACTAATTCTCCCAGGCATGGAACTAGCTTTTCATTCCATGATCAGCTTTGGCTTGAGGATTGGGGGTGGGGAGGGATGATGGAGAGAAATGAGATTAGGGTTCAGTCTGGGAACTAAAGAAAACAGAAATATAAACCCTCCTCTGTGCTGTTGCTCTGGGCTTCACGCTTCTCAAGTAAGGCTGAATTTCAGGCCCTGCCAACAAACTCGCGGTCACAATAGCTCATGGAATGAAAAGGTTCCCTTCCTCCACGATACCTTTATCAAATTCAAACTATTTTCCACATTCCTTCCTTATACCGCTCAGGCGCACCTGTGACGCAGGCCTCAGAGCAAATTCCACTCAGGAGATCCAGGAAGCTCTGGCCCGGCCCTCCCCCATAGAAAGGAAAGTCCAAGAGGGATACCACACCCGGAGGAGGGGAGAGAGGACATGACAATACCTCTAGGAATGCAGGGCCCACGCAGGTGTGCTGGCATCTGTGAACTTCCTTTTGAAAAGGGCCTGATAAATCAGTATGGATAATAGTAATAAAGCTCAGCCACCCCACACTCACTTGCGTTGAAGTGGGGCCTGGCTTCCAGGGCATGGCCCTGACAGTTGGGGAGTAGAGGGTGACAGCTGAGAATAAAGATTCCTAAAGGCTGTGACGTGTTTTCTACTCAACGGTTCGTAAACCCAGGGGGCTGGGCGGGGGGGTGCGCCCTGGGTGTCCCTGGGACCTTTTCAGGGGATTCTCAAAGCTAAAACTATTTTCACATTACTGACCTGTTACTTGTTCTTCTCACCGTCATTGTCTCACAGGTATCCAGTGGTGTTTTCCAGAAGGGACATGACCTGCGATGATGTCACCCTGATGACTCCTGGAATGTGTGTGCTTGTATGTTCTTTTGATGAAACATTCTATTTTAGTTCTCATACAATGAATATTAAAAGACATAACATGCAAACTAAATACTAGGGGGCCCTTCATAATTTTTAAGGTCTTAAGGGGTCTTGAGTCCAAACCATGGAGCTACCCTATCACAACACCACACTTAATGTCCAGCACAGCCCAAATCACGGAGCAGGTGCTTTCGAACAGGGGGTGAGGGCCACAGCCTTATTATCATTCAGCTTAGGATGGAATCCTTTCCATCTGTACTTCCACCCAAAACGGCCAGAAAAAACTTAAATTCCCCAAGAAACACTTAGTGAACCGAACCCCCTTGGGGAAAGACGGGCTTCTCACCTTTGAGCGGGGGTGGGGGGGGCGGCAAAGTTAGCCTGGAGAAACCACAGGCACCCAGCGAAGTCATGTGTGAGTACCTGCTAGGAGGCAGGTACCACTCCACGGGCTCAGCAACAGTCAGTTGACACGGTCGCTGCCTCCTCAGTGCTTTCATTCTGGGGCGGAGGCAGATGACTCCAAAAACATGAAAAAACAAACTTGTCACACAGGTGCTGGGAAGGATGTACAAGGGTCAGGAGGGATTTGAGGTAAGCAGATGAGGGGAAGGCCCTGAGGACTCAGGTGGAATGAAGTACCCTAACCAATTCCTCCTGGCCATCTCAGACACGGCCCCCACCCCCCACCCCACCACCCCGCAAGCCCAGGTCGGTGCAGAGGAGGGGTCAAGGGGGCCCTTCTACGTGGATGGGGGGACCTGAGGGTCTCCTCTCCACTTTCCCGGCATCGCCAATGCTAAACAGCGTCCCCGTAAGGAGAAACCAGACTCTGGGGCATTTAGAGCAAAGGGTTCAGTCTTTTATCAAGGACACCGCTCTATCACTACCCTCGGAGAAGGAGGAAAGAACGTTATCCAGAGGCTGTCAATGGTGGAAACAGCAATCAGCCAAGAAATGGAGAGAGGAGGGAGAGGAAGACTTCAGTTTAAAAATAAAATAAATACAAAATAAGCAAAGAAAAAAGAAAGCCCGGGCGGGCCCATCTAGAAGTCCTGAGGGAAGCCGGACCTGAGGGGAGCCATCCTGGCCTCAGTTCACTTTCCCTCCCCAACCGCGGCGCTCCCTCGACCTCCTGGGACCCGACGGGTTGCAGAAAAATCTCTACGGACGAGAACGAAGAGCCCTGATGTTCTCCCCTACTAACTGCGGCAGAGCGAGAAAAGTTTTATTTTGTAACCAGGGTTGCAGCCGGACGCCTAAACGACCCAACTGGGTGGTGGAGAGGCGCTGCTGCAGCACCCAAAAGTGGACGTGGGGTGGGGGGGCGCCGGGAACCGAAGAGCTCCAACGCGCTCCGGCAACCGGCCAAACAGCCCTCTCCAACCCCAGCCGGGCGCGCTCTCGCCGGGACCCGGACGTCAGGCGCGTGCCTGCGCTTGCGCAAAAGGCACCCGCCCAGCTCCTCTCCAGGTGCGCTCTTGCTTCCGGCCGGCCTCCCCAAGGCGGAAACACCAGAGCCCGCGCATGCGCTTTCCAGCTCTCCTGCTTGATCCAGGGAGGGGGCCCAAGGTTTCAGGTGATCCCGCCCCTCCCTCGCAGCGCGGAGCCAATCGCACGGTGGTGGGCGGGATTTTCGAGAAGGCGGCCCGCCCACGCGCTTCGCGAAGCGTGTTTCGATTGGTTGGCGACGCTGGCGCAGGTGCGCGGTTCCTATTGGGTGTGGGCGGAGCGCGAGCCGCCGAGGCTTTGGCGGAGGCTGCAGGTGAGCGCGCGCACGCGCCGCGGCTCCCGCCCGCCTCGGGTGCGCGCGCGCGGGCTTGCAGAGGAGGTGAACGAGAGCGAGATTGCGGCGCCTGTCGCCTCTGCTCCGCCCCCTCCTCCTCCTCCCCCTCCTCCTCTTTCGTCTCGGCCGCCGCCGAGGCCCGGAGGGAGGGAGTCGCGTCCCCACCCGCCGCGCCGCCAGTCCGACCCTCGGTCCGGCCGCGTGAGCAGCCAGCCGAGCGGAGCTCTGCGCGGAGACCCGAGCGGCGGCCGCCCCTCTGCAGGTGCCTGTGAGGAGTCGCCCGGGCCGCAGCCGCGTCCCCAACCCGCCGGCCGCGCACTCGCTCACTGCGCTCCCGAGGGGCGGCCCGGCTGTAGGAGGCCGCCGCGAGGCCCGGCCTCAGCATGAACCGCAGCCACCGGCACGGGGCGGGCAGCGGCTGCCTGGGCACCATGGAGGTGAAGAGCAAGGTGCGCGGGGCCGGGGCTGGGCGGAGTGGCCGGCTGATGGGGGCCGGGGCCGGGCCTGGGGGAGGCCGGGGGCGGCCGGGGGGACTGCCCCGGTGTCTGCAACGCGGGGGGTGCGGCAGTGGGGTGCGGAGGCAGGAGGTGGTGGATTGTAAACTTGTTGAGAAGGGGGCGAAGGAGGGGCCTTGTGTTTGTTCCTGGCCCAGGTGGGAAGACCCATGGAGCACTTAATCTCCTTGAATCTCATTCCTGTTAAGGGATGGGAGGCGTCTGAGCGCAGTGTGGGACGAAGGCTTGGAGGTAAATTCTAGCCCCTGGTCTCCGAGGAAAAGCTATTTGGAAGACGCGTGGTCACAAAGTGTTACCCCTTTCTGTGGTTCAAGGGTGCATCGAGTGGGGTGAAAGGGAGAGCCCAGTGCACTAAAGGGACCTTTTAAAGTTCGCTTTGCTTCCTGTTAGGGATTTTTCCAGCACTACCTTTGGTACGCGTTTAATCTATAAAATTAACACTATCACCTTTCGTTTGAGTAGCCCTTTACAGTTTGAGGCTGGATGCTCTTATTCCATCGTGCTACCTTTTCACATCAAGTGTTTTCCTTCTTGACCAATGGTATGCCAGTCTGCTGATAATTCCCGCCACATCCCCTGAATTCCTAAATTGCAAGGCTGCTTGAGCTAGTCTTTAGGGATTAGGTAGAGAATGCTTTCCAGAGGGGGGTTTTGAGCTGGAATTTGAAGGTGATGGGCAACCACAGCCACATTTTCTGCAAGCATTTCATGGGTTGAAGAGCCAAAGAAGTTTAGATGATCTAGTTTGATTCTCTTGACAAAAGGGAGGGGTCAGAAAGGTTAAGACTTCGCCGGGCTCTGCTTTTATGACAAAACCTGGAAGCCTTTTTACAGAATAACTTCTAGACTCTATAGAATAAAACTGTTTTTGAGAGCACTAAAAATAGTTAAGAAAAGCAAAACACCTGCGAGAATGGGAGAACAGTACAAGCATATCAGCTTCAGAAATGATGAAACAGGGCAAATCCCAAATCAGGGAGTGGTTTTGAGTGAAGTGGAGGAAAGAGAGCGCCCTGGAGCCTGTGGGTGGAATGGCTTTATTATCTTGAGTTGATAAGCAAAGTTCTGTAAGTTGCTGTAACTGAGATCTGCATTCACTTTAAACATCATTTAAATGTTATTTGTAACTTCTGGAGCAGGAGGGGCAGTAGTTTCACAGAAACCGTCCTGTTTAATAAGAACAGAAATGTAATTATAGCAGTTGAGGGAATGTGCTCTTCCCCGTGTCCTCAGTGGAACCGCTAGAGCAAATGGAAGACGTGCTTGAGCTAGGGGTTAAGATGATTCCAGATATACAGGGTTTTTCCTCGAGCGGTGTAGTGGCCGGAGTGGCCCTGTGCCCACTGGTTGAACTTTCTCAGGCATTTCTGTCATGAATCTAGTTTGCATCTGTGGGGGTTGAGGTTAAGAAAAGACAAACACTTAGGATATTGCATAATCTTCTAATGCAGTTTGTGGTCCTAATCTTTGGTAGCAAGTCTTTAATTCTTCATCATAGGAAAAAAATGGGCAGAGATTCTAGGTGCACTGATAAGTACAATCAAATGGTCATTTATCTCCTGGACGGGCAAGCTGGAGCACTCTGGGACTGGGATTTCAGGCTTTCTGGCCCCTTCTCTTCTGTCCGCTAACCTGTGAGTCTTTCCCACACGTATGTCTGTACTACATGTTATATATTTGAGCTGTCAGGCTGCACTTATAGTGAACCGTGTCTCTGAAATAGAATCAAGGCTTTCTGAGAACCTGCACTGAATGAAGTGTGGTTCCTCTGTTGTGCTGGAAGTTGGTATGTAGACAGAATATTAGGTTCTGTTTTTAGTGGGTCTGTGACACCTTGTGTTTTAAATATATGCTGTTGACACATTTATTTTTAGCGGATTAAATGAAACACTTGTCCTCTTTATCATTTACAAAGTATTTGGACAGATGTTTGAAACAGTATTTCCCTTTGTCAGCCGCCTTAGAGATAGCACAGCTTTTTACAAAACTGATGGTCAAGAGGTTGTAACCGCAACCCCGTGATGTGCAGATAGATCCACACTTCAGATTCTCTTTTTCTTCCCCGTAGAAAACCGTGTCAGCTGTGTCACCTGAGTAGAGCGGGGAAAGTTCTTAATCGATAATGAAGGTGGAATCCTTTAATGACCTTGGAACAGTCTTTGGGCTGTACATTTTCTAATTATTATTCATGGGCAAGCAGTATTGAAATTAACTTTGCGGTTTCTTGAACGTGCCAGCGGATGCCGGACGAAGGTTCGTGTCCGTTCTTCCAGCAGATGCTGGGAGAAGGCCACATCCTGGGTGGCCAAGACAAACTAGACTGGCCTAAATAAGAGTTACAGACGCTTCACAGTGAATAGTTGTTGACTGGGTCTTAATTTTATCTCTGTCTTAGTATTTTTCTTCACATAGTAATACGTTCTCTTCATCCTGTTTTTCTGCAAGAAGCGTAAGTTTCTCTTGTTCGGTTTTGTTTTCTGCTAACATTTGCAAAAGGGCACGTCAGCTGTGAAGCCATACAGTTTTTCATTGTTTTTACCATAACATTTAAGGAAGAGAAGAACAAGTTGAGCAAAGGATTTTCACCCAAAAGCTTTATTGAGCAAAGTCGTTGGAGCCCTAAAATGTTCATGGGTTAGATGTTACTCTCATTCACGTGCCTGGGACAGTGATAAACCCTGGTGCGGATCCGTGGCACTAGGAGCTTTAGGTTGTGATACCAGGAGAAAGACCAAGGAGGAGAAACTGACTTTTGATAACATCATAAGACTGACTAGCTCTGATATGAAGGGTGTTGCCGAGTTTTTATTGACTTTGAAACGTGAAGGTGTGACTAAACTTTGAGAGTTTGAGGTATGAGTCACTTTATATTCTTGACCGATGTTGGTGTTTATGTTTTAGGAATGTGTCATGAAAACTCGTATTCATTAGAGGAGGTGGTTTGGGTGAATTTTAAACTTAATTTAATACTGATGAGTAGGTGTGGGTATTAGCAAGCAGATGAACTTCTTCGTTGTAACAGATACAGTGACTCGGGCTATCACATCGATCCTTTGGAAGAGGAACTGAGACAGTTGTGACCTGCTCAAATTATTCCGGTGGGGACTGTCTCTGCTGATGCTTAAGGCTGTGGTAGTATTACATTAGAATACACTAGTATTTCTTAGTAGTAGATATTTAGAAGAAAAAGGAGTTCAGTGGTTGAATGCATTTGGCAAACATTTGTTTAAAATTTAAAAAAAAATCAACTGGAGGACTCAACTGGGTGTTTAATATCTGGTCTGTCTCCACAGTGACCCCTAAGAGTGGGGTCATAGTTCTGTAGCATTCCTTGAGCTTACATGACCAGGGCGCTTTCTGAGGAAGGCTGATTAACCTTACCTGGGTTTCCCCCTGGGCCCATAGTCAGTCATAGATCCTGTTTATCGGGGACCAGATGAAGCCAGTCCTGAGTGCTGAATAACAGCCGCTTTAATAATCCGGCATTTGGAGAGCAGAGGTGTGATTCTAGAAGAATCAGAATGGGGCATGATAGAGGTGGTTTTGTGGTTCTTAATACCTCTCTGATGTCTTTGTCTTCTTTACCCACTCATGGATGAGCTCCTGCTGCAGGCCGTAGCCCTCCATCTGTAGGGCCCAGGCACTGTGCCAAGCATATCAACACTCCTTGCATTAATAGGATGGTTGTAGGATGTATATTTTATGTATTAATAAAGCTTTTTTCCAGCATTATTATAGGGAAGATGCTCCTTATTTCTAGACCTATTTCTTATATGATATACCTCCCATTTGATTTGTGCCTTCATGCCAAGAAGCTCAAAGTCCCTTCTTTATGTGTTGCTATTAATTCTTTCCACTTCCCGTGAAATCATAATTCGTTTTATGGGGGAAGAAACTTTGGTGCTTTTTGCTAATTGCCAAAATAAAGACTTGGGCACATCTTTTTTACCCTATGGCCTGGGCAGGGAGAGGACTTCTGTCAAGATCTGGGCTCCAGACAGGGTTTGAGCTGAGTCACTCTTGCGGGACAGTCCCCAGTGAGGCCTGGGAACCCCAGGGATTGAGTGGAGCCCCATCCTTGAAGGGAATGCCCCTCGGAGATGTAGCAGTGAGAAGGCACATTCCTGTCTGCCTTAATGCTATTTTATCTCCAAATAATGAGATTTGTGACAATAGACTGTGTCACTACAACACTCTTTCTTATTAAGAGAAACACTGCTACTGTTAATTTTCCTATGGGGTGCATTTTCAGATTGGGTCCTGTTACTTTTGTTTGTTTTTAATTAATATGTTCATTGTATTTATAGTTTGGAGCTGAATTTCGTCGGTTTTCACTGGAAAGATCCAAACCTGGAAAATTTGAGGAGTTTTATGGATTACTGCAACACGTTCATAAGATACCCAATGTTGACGTTTTAGTAGGCTATGCAGACATCCACGGAGACTTGCTACCTATAAATAATGATGACAATTACCACAAAGCTGTTTCAACGGCCAATCCACTGCTTAGGATTTTTATACAAAAAAAGGGTAAGTACCACTGTGTAGAGACATTGTTTTAGAAATAAAAGTAGTTTATTTTCCTCACGGGTAGGATTATGCATTGAATTCTCACTTTGTTGAATAGAACTGTGTCCATTCAGAAAGATGTGGTCTAAAGGCTGGGACTTGGGCATCAGAGAAAGATTCTCGTTTTTTGGTGGCAACCAACTTTCAAGTGCTGTATTTACTGCTTAATAACTACCTGAAAGAAAGTTACTTATTTAGAATGCTCTTCACAGAAATAAAGTTAGTTAATTATCTGGAAAATTAGATAGCAAGTCATTATTATGGAGGAATTTAAACACTGATATTAGTCTTGCAAAAGAACATTTGAAATAACCATCCTATATGACAAGAATTTTGAGTTGTGGAACTTTTTTTTTTTTAAACTATGTGGCCTCCCCCATGTCTGTGTGTCTGCCTGGCTGCACGTGGGCATGATGTGTGCCATTTATTTCTTTGGTTTTGGTAAATGAAGAGGTTTAGAAAGCCAGCATGACAGCAGCAAGCTTAGTATTGGTGGGATAATGAAAGCCTTACTGTGTTTATAAACCAACCCAGAAAGCAGTTTGAGAGAATGGATAGAGATTACCCTTGAAGGTGAAACTTTATTTCCCAGTTGATAAACGTTAGACCACTCCTAGGGCTTTGAAATTCCACTGGTTATATAGCTTTGCTTTTCTGGGTTTGGAGGAACTAAAGTCCACCAACAAAATAAACCTCCCAAGGGTGACATGTTCATAACACTTCACTGTTTACAGAATACGTAGAAACGCAGAAACTGATTTTCCCAAAGACCTCCGAGATGGATTTCATAGATACGTAACAGTCGTGTGGTGTGGTTAGAGTATTAATCTAGGAAGATTAATTTGGCGGTTGGGGATGAGTTGAAGTGAGCAGGGTCTTAGAGGGCCAGGAGCCGGCGGTGAAGGGGCGGCTTCGGAGGAGGTTAAAGAGGGCGTATCTGATATTTGAGAGTCTCTGTGCTCCCCACGGGATGGCGGGGAGTTGAAGAGGAGTCCAACAGAGAACAGCTTTCTGGGTTCGAGTCTGATGGCCGGGACAGTGTCATAAACCCAGAATTTGGAAGAGGGAGATTAGCTCGGAAAGAAAACGGGTTTGGCTTTAGGATATGTGGCTGGTGAGTTTTAACCATGCCACGTAGGAAATTGGAAATGGTAGACAGGAACTTTGGATTGAAATCTAGAGGCCCAGTCAGAGAACATTGAAAGTCTGTGGAAAAGTGATATTTGAGAAATTCTCTGGAGGAGACTTCAGGCCTCGTAGGGATGAAGACCAGGGATGAGCCCTTGGAAAGCTGTACAGACTTTGGAGATAAAAGAGCATCAGTAGAGGAGAGAAGACAAAGCAGTCATGTGGAACTTGTCATTTTAAGCAGAATAATATCAATCATTGATGAGTAGGCCTTTCTTGTTAGCAGTTGTAATTTTCATTAAAATACTTTGTTGTATTTGGAATGTGTATGCAGGCGTGGAGTGGTTATTTTTAAACCACTGCCATCCAACAAAATTTTGTTGGATTATCCTTTCTGTTAGATGATCGGAGTTGGATCATGCCACTACATGTTTTTTATTACTGGCGCTGCAACACTTAGTGAGTGTGGGGTCAATCCTCACATCTGTTAAGGGTGGTTATGTTCTGCTCTTTGCTTTTGAATATGTTTATATGTGAACAGAAGTTTTCTGTGTCCTAGAAATCAATGTCCAGTATAGTGAACAGCTCGTAGAATTCGATTTAAAAAGGGGCGCCTGGGTGGCTCAGTTAGTTAAGCTTCCCGTTCTTGGTTTTTGTTCAGGTCATGACCTCACGGTTGTGAGATCAAGTCCTGAGCCCTGGGTCAGCTCCCCACAGGGCACGGTGAGTCTGCTTAGGATTTTCTCTCCCTCTGCCCCTACCCCTTCCCCCGTCTTTAAAAAAAGAAAAGTTTTATTTAGAAATAGGCAGTGCATTCAACAGAACGTTTGTTTTTAAAAATATGAACATGGGGCGCTTAGGCTCAGGTCATGATCCTCAGGGTCCTGGGATCAGTCCCACGTCAGGGCTCCCTGCTCACCGGGGAGTCTGCTTCTCCCTCTCACTCTGCGGCTCTCCCTGCTTGTGTTCTGTCTCTTTCTCTGTCAAATAAATAAATACAATCTTGATTTCTTTTTTAAGATTTTATTTATTTATGAGAGAGAGAGAGAGCTGGTGAGAGAGAGCACAGGGCGGTGACGCGGGGAAAGGGAGAAGCAGGCTCCCTGTTGAGCAGGGAGCCCCACACAGGGCTCACTCAGTCCCAGGGCTCTGGCATCACGACCTGCGCAGAAGACAGATGTTTAACCAACTGAACCACCCAGGTGCCCTAAAATCGGTTAAAATATAAAAATACAAATGTAATACAAACATGACTTAAGGAAAGCATAAAAGTAAGCTGGTCAAGTCGTTCCTGTTTCCTGCCCCCTCTCCCCAGCCCCCCATTGCATCCAAAGTGAAATCCTACCTGCTTTGGACTTCCCCAACCTCATCCTTCTCCATCCCCCGGCTCCGTCGTCATGTCCAACCAGGCCCACCGTCATGTCCAACCAGGCCCACCCGGCCCGCAAGCTCCGTCTCAGACTTGGAAAGGGTGTTGCTGTCCCTGTGCTTCTGCTCTTGCTTTTCTCCTCACTCCTCACCAACCGCCCCCATCCTTCAGATCTTATCACACGCAAATAACTTCAAATGAGGCGTCTCTTTGGATCACCAAAGCCCCTTGACCCTCCCACCTTTATCAGACCTGGAATTCCCTTGTGTAAGTCTGAGTTATCTTGTTTATTGTCTGTCTTAACAGACTTACGTGCTGCCTTGTGATTCGCAGTGATACTTTCTTCTTGTGAAGCTCAACAGATGTTGAGCAGAAGCTGATTTTAGGCAAACTTCACTGAACAGTAAATTCAGGAAATTAATATAAAGCGTGGCGTTAAGTCCCGTAACATCTCACCGCTTAGTGACAGTTCACTTTGTTTCCTCGGCCTGTTGGTGCCAGTTTAGGAACCGATAGGGCAGCGGTCACACTTACATGGTACCAAGTGATTTAAAAAGAAAAACAAATTTTAAAACCATTTTGAATTTTAAAATCACGTGGTCTTTTAAAATCTGATACCTCTGCCAGAAGTTTCTTCGAAGTGAAAGTTCACAGTTGAGTGCATAAGCTATATAGTAGGAACTCAAAGATTGCATCGTCCTGTATCTTGAAAGGTTTTGTGTCTTACAGTAATGTATTGTTGGAGGAAACACCCCCCCACCCCACCCCACCCCCACCCCACCCCGCTCTAGGACGATTACCAGGGAAGCAGAAACCAAAGAAAACAAAATCCCTGCTGTCTGAGAAGTCAGGGTCGCACAGAGGACCCCAGATACTTTGCCGGGTCCTGTCCCCTTTTGGAGTGTAGAGGTTTCCCAGCCAGTCCGTGTGCGCGTTGTCACACTGGAGACACCGCCTGGTGGCCCAGGCCCCTCTGTCCCTAGAACTGTGCAGCGGACGATAGTTTGGGGGCGCGCTTGAAGATTACTTCTCAGTGAATCCGGCCGTGATTGCAAAATGCTCCAAGAGGGATGCTTCCTAATTGTCAGCTGAACTTTGAAGAACAGCGTAGGACACCAGTTGCTCACGACAGAAAGCTAGGTGTCAGCTGTGACACATACCTGTCGTTCAGTCAGTCACCAGGCCTGTTCCAGCAGTTCTAATTATTTTTCAGATTTGTTTCCCCATCAGCACCGGCTCTGCCAGAGCCCAGGCACTCTTCAGAATGATGGCAGTAACCGCCTGCCGCCTCCCTCAGGGTCACTCTCCCGCTTAAAGTCAGGGTGAGCTTAATAGAAAAACCCAAATCTTTGTTTTCTTCCCAGTGCCCTTAGGCTGAAGTCCATAATCCCTAGCACCCCTCCCCACTAGGCCTGTCCCCCCCCCCCCCCCCC